CATGCACACATAAGGATTCACATATGTGAATGCAAGTAATCCATGAGCCACCATAGTTACAAGAATACTCATAAATACCCAAGTAACATTCTTTCCAGTTCTATCAACAAGATATCCGAAAATAGGGGATGCGATAGCTGATATAGAATATACGAGAGAGTTAACTTTGTTCGCATTTGCTGGATCAAATGCGTATTTTCGTTCGAAGAAGACCCTAGAAAACAAATATTATGTAATATACAATATAGATAAAGTATGTTTACAAAACTTTCCTGTTGCTCATACTCACTTTCCTAAGGCGATAAATGGAAATATCGCGACGTAATAAGCAATGCAGATGAGAGCGACTAACCAAAATATAAGCCTAAAATCCTTAATGTCTGTTAGACTAACAACCTGGGCTTCTTCCCCTTCGCCTCTTCTCAATAATCTCTCTGCGCGCTTATCCATAATACCTACTACACAGGCACAAATCATAGAACCCACCATAGTGAAAGTAGCAAGGAAAAGTACTACACCGATACATTCTGGTCCTTTGTAATACTGGGACACGAAAGTATAAATTGGTTCCATGACCAAAAAGTTTACAGTTGAGCCAACTCTTGCAAAGCTTAATTGTAAACCGAATACCATGTTCAATTCTTTTCCTTTGAACCACAAGACTGCATAACTATTCTGAGCAACAGCCAACGATTCTGTACCAATACTATAAGAAATATTAAATTTAATGTTAATTGACATGATAATTATCAACATCATAAAATAAAAACATACCCAAATACAAATCGACCAATCATCATGAGCCAAAAAGCGTTAATCATAGCTCCTGTTGCAAATATGATTTGTCCAACTAATGCGAGTCCCATATATATAATTGTTCCTAAACGTATTCCGAAGACACTGTCCAATAAAAATCCTCCGATGAAACAAAAAATCACATTTGGCCACGAATATATTGAATAAAGTAGAACGAATTTAGAAGTTGACATCGCCAAATCGCTCCTAAAATTATCTTGGAGTGCGCTAGGATTGTCAAAGCAGAAGTACGGACCTGAAAACAAAGTATTGAATTACATTAATTTATTCAAGGGATGAAATACCATGCTTCTGATACGGAATCATCTTAACGGGGTCAATGATCTGATAATCTAAGGCATGCTTCGGAGAATACGTGAAAAACGTGACTCATAAGCCGATCGATTTCAGCGTAAACACGCGTTTTTCGTATTATGTATTTTCCGATGTGAATCCCAACACTATTTCTATATTAAAATGTTAATGAGAGGATAAATAATTTCGCTGATATGTCTTATCTCGAAAATATCCAGAGCGAAAGGAATATTAATGTAATTTACGAAGTCCGTAATAGTACTGTTCAAATGTCTGATAGCAGAAGTGGGCAAGATTACTATTTAGACAAAAATTTTAAAAATAGCGAAGAAGAAATGAACATTGATTCGTTATTTGTTAAATAAAAAGTATAGTATCATTACGAGCACCAGATCAAATATCAAATCATGACCAGCTGCGTAACATTGAAGATGAAGAAGACGGTCGGTCGTTACAGACGATAGTGATCGATTAAACTGTCATCAGACGTTTTCGGAACTTGGAAGAATGCAGCTGATCAATGTACGATTACTAAGCGACACTTATCGAGAAACGTATTCCTTTGTTTTCAGCAAAGAAGTTTCAACATTTAACCCTTTCATTACCTACAAAGAGATATTTCGTTACCACAATATCGCTTTTGCGATGCCATAGACGAAATATCTCGCATCGCAATTTCCGGTATTCTCTTCATATCAACGTCAAGTCTTATAAATAATATTAAATATATCTCGTTATATGTAATGAAAGGTTTAGTAAGCATTTTGCAAAAATCCTACTATAATTTAAAAATTAACAATCGATCAACAATAAATTGATGTACAGGAGTACGATTAAACTAAAACTATGTTTCAGTGTATTGTGTATGGATATTGTATTATCGAATAAATACTATCACCACTACATCGACATGTTACTGTTTACATTTATCTCGAAAACAAATGATTTAACATGCCATAAAGTAAACAGAATTCTATTACGAAATGTTAAAAGAAAAAGTACAATCGTTACTTTATATGAATTAAGATAAATCGTGACTAAATGTATAGCAAGGTCGTAATGTACGGAAACAACAACAATCGGGCCTAAACAATGGCTCTTCGAGCACGTTGTAAAGATAACGTTGGAGTGACAATCGTACCAAAACCTAAGAAGCACATAAGAGCTAGTCCTAGAAATCTGTACGGTAGCTTTTTAGGGCTGCAGAATCCTTGTAAGGCGATTTCATCGTCGGATCTGTCCAGAGTGGTATCTGGACTTTCTAACACGCCTCCTTCCATATCGAATCGCGTTGTTATTTTATTGTTTACAACTGACAGGCACAGCCACAGGTGCCTTGGGCTCGAGACGTTCACTAGAGTTCACTGTACCGATCATTACACCATCAATCAAATACGCACGAGCCAATCCCCTGTTCTAATGAACCAGATGCGAGTCTCTTAAAAAAAAGGATTGTGCTAGGGATCAGCTCGTGAATGCTGTCGATTAACTACTTTAACGAGTTAGATGTGCTGCCAGTCGTGTCATTACTAATCTGTCAATCGTATACGTCACGCTGGCTACCCAACCTGCGCAGCAAAACACTCGAATACCAAAAGATCGACTTAAAAATCTCTATCGGAAGAATGTGCAGTGTTACCAATATCACTTGAATGCCCCTATATATCCGAGACTTTACACGTAGAAACATTTTTTCGTTGAGAGCACTGATTAAAGATTTCAAAGCTAAGCTTGTTCACCGTTAGATGACGATAGTGGTAAGATTTCGAAGAATTGTTTAATGTTCAAGGTGGTATACGATAAGTAGATCTCTACTTCATCGGAGAACAAAACAATCCTAAATGAATATTGTCAATAGCTCTATCATCTTCTAATCTGTGACGCCATCATTGTAAGCCCAAAATAGAATAAAGTTCTCGTAGTTTGATTTTCATGAGTTTATTGCGAAACATAATTTATTGAATGTAGATAATTAATACTTAACACTAATCGCATATTATATGAAAATTTTCTTATGTTAGAGATCGAGATTTGGAAAACCAGCAGTTCGGAAGCGATCATTCTTGACTTAAGAGGCGACTTCTTCCGTCGCACCCTCGAACTCAAGCTTCACTTGACACTCTTCCGGCAATCCTTCAACGTCTACCTCCGATTCCGGTGCGTTTAACATGTTTAACGTTACTTCCGCTGATTTTCCCATTAATCCTTGGTTCCCTGTTGATTGTTGCTTCACTTGCGCCGACTGTTGCACCGATTGTTGCGACAATATCTGTTGCCTGATGGGCACCCCCGCCTCTTCGAAGGCTTTCTTCTTCAACGTTGTCCGTATCTGAGAGCTAAAATGCCAAATCGACCGGTTAAAGTTGGATCAAGACTGACGCAGAGAAATTGAGGGAACAACCGTGGGCTCGATGCAGCCTTGTTAACTTACACCGTTCGTCCCTTGATGTGTTCACTTATTTTGTTCAAGTCTTCACTGAAGGTCTTTACCGAGTGACGGAGCATCTCAATTTCCTCGTCAGTCCATTTACTACAGATCAAGCAACACCACAGAGTATTATTACGTAAAAATACAGCCAGTAATTTTTGCGGTAAAGCGACGAATGAGGTACATAGGTACCATGTTAATGATTTTTCTAGCCGTATCTGTCATTGTTAATATGTAGAAGATGTTTCGTAAGGCTAATGCTACAAGAAATGAATGAAGATGCCCATAAAATCGTGCAAATCGAAAATACATAAAATTTAGACGTAATTAATGTGAACGTGTTTTGAGTCTAAAATAGAGGAAACTTTTCTTTGTTAGATTTAATGTCAGTGTGCAACAAAGCAAACGGTACCGAAAGATGTTTGTTTTTAACAGTTTCGATGATCAGAAATCGATTATTTTAAGAATCGTGTAAATTGAAGGTTAGGTGCATCCTATCGATTCATAATGAAAGCATTCGGGCAAAGCTCGATAACTTTTGTGTTTCCTATTGGTAGCAAGCGGTACCACGTGACATTTTCCCGCGCTTTTCTGCAGACAGAGCAGTCATATAAACTTAAGCGAAGGCATTAAACGCGTTTGTTGCTACTTCCGACAAAAGCAATGTTACATATTTGTTCCTCGTCAAATTACCCAGCTGGTGAGTCCGTTGTGGGGTGCAACTGCATAGTTAATTCACCAAGCTTGTTAAACGCTGCCCCGGCTGCGGTGAAAATCTCACCAACCTGAAATGAGAACGAAATATTCGTCGATTATTCCCCAACACGTAATTAATAACCAACTGACACTTTACTTCGCACACAAATTCACTGAATAATCGAACAGGCGCGATATTTCGCGATGAATTCAATAATCCAACAAGGATGTAAAAAATAATTAAAAAAAATTCTATTGGACAAGACATAACCTAACCTTTTGGCCGCTTATAGACTCCATTGCTAAGGTACTCGAGGGTAAAAGCACGTGACTCGCGTAGAAAAAGGAAGACAAGCGGCGAGGGGGTGGGGGGGAATGACCGTTAAGTGTTATATGGCGAGAAACTGCCTAAAATCGGCGACAGCCGCTACCTTTTCGCTTACCTTGCTCGCAGAGTTCATGTCAGTTTGTGTTGTCGTACGTCGTCATTCGACCGAACAGACGGTTGCACGCTATTGCCATCTCGCGTCGTCCTCGGAATCTTTCTTATTAAACAATTGTAACCTCTGCTTCTCTTGTCGACCCCTTCGACAATCTTTCCCTATTCGTTTTCGTCCGCATAATTATGTGAAAGTATAAGGTACCGACCCCTTTAAGATTATATACATTCTTTTTGAGATGGGGAAATTGTGTATTTTTATTTTTTATCTTAGCAACAGTTTAACTTATAAACTTCGATTTTTTTTTTCATTAATTAATATAAATGTACTTCTTAACTAATTTTTTGCTTTATTCGTAAGGATCACACTTTGCAATACAAAATTATTTTCATTTATATCTAGGCTGCAGATGTTTACACAAATTCAAATCTTTACGAATACAGAAAAATAATTGAAACTTGAATTAAAGTTATTATTAGTTCACTATTCCACTTCGTAATCGCTGTAGTGAATCTTGTTCGTAAAAATGTTAGGATTAGCTGCTCAAGTTCTCTCATAGATTAATAACCTCCGTTTCCACTCGTTATCTGTGGTAACGGTCACCTTTCGAAACTTACAAACATTCGTCAATATATTTTCAATATGTGCCTGGGGATCGCCAGTGAGCTCTAGCGTCTTCAGCAAAGGGAAATCCTCTCCATTGGAGCGTCTCAAACGTCTCGACGCGTTTCTGTAGCATTTCCAAAGCTGAGGCTCGATCACGATCATCTCCGCTAGCGAACAGGCTTTCTTCAAGAATTCGGCCAACCCTTTGTCTCCGTGGTTCAAGTGGATCCACATCGTAACAGAGAAACAGAACACGACGTCGAAGCGTGACTTCTGAAAACGACCAAGATAGCCCTCCAACGTCTGGTCGCAATCTTCGGCTACAAAATCGAGGCATTCGAAAATTATTCGATCCGTTCGTGGATTGCGTTCCCGTGCCCGCTCGATCAGAATCGGATCGAGATCTACGCCAAGCAAGGAGATCTCTCGATCGCCCGATAAGACGCTCTCGAGGAAGTCGTGCAACACGAACGTCAGGTCCTGAAAGCATTAATGTGATTTGCCATTTATCGATACTCCTCGGCCAAGAAAATGCGTGGCTTTGTTGGATCTCGAAATTTCTGATATTGTTGTTACAGAGTGTTTTCTAGAACGAGCTTTTGAACGCTTAAATGACGTTAGCTGCCACGTTTAATTATGATCTTGCGTACTTTTATTAAAATGAAAAATGTGTTTTTAATAAGATCATTTCAGAAAATATTTTTTCAATTCATGGAAACGTGCATTGGATTGCATGGAACTCGAACGAGTTTCCGGAAGCAGGGAAGTTTGGGGTTATTCCGAAAAAGGGATAACTCCGTTAAATTTAGACGTGCGCCGTTTGTAATTTCGGATCACGGCCGACTCATTCTATTTCGTCTGGCAGCTGTTTCAAGCTCACCCCCGCGTTACAGCCAACGTCTAGGCCTACGTATTTCCGGTCCGGATGGCCAGGACGCCGCCACACGCCACGCGGAAGTTGTCGCACGCGCTCTTCCGCAGGATGGAATTGGTAATAATTCATGAAGTTCCCGTGTCTACTAGCGCCCGGATCCGTCTTGTCTTCCTTTTCCTTGGACGATATCCCCGACATTTTTCAAAACCTGAAAATCATCGAGATCGATGGTCAACCATTGGATTCTTTGGATTCTACATGTCTCACATTTCAACTTTTATAGCGTATAAAAATAATTTAATTTTTGATCGAATTTTCCTTATATTTGACGCATAATTACATCGGATTCGGAAAGTAATTACGTATTTTTACCATCAGAATGATTTGTTCCGCAGTTTAATTACAAAAAAAAATTATATTTTCTTTTTCACGAACAAAGAAAACGAAATTACTTGGCTAACAATGAAATAGTGACTCAGTTTTACAATAATATTACATACCAGTCTATATCACAAAATGAAACCACTACACTCGCTTCAAGATAATTGAATCATTAGGAAATAAAATTAATAGAATTCGGTTAACGACAAGTTGCTCGCGAATTTCATGCATTTATAAAAAAAAAAAAAAGTACGTATATAAATATGAAATGCGTAAGCTAAACTAACCCGTAACGCATTATAAAACAAAAAGGTAACCGAATTAACACTATTACTCCGCGTACATAAATTTTACATACGATTTCTAAGTAAGAATATGTCATAAATTCATGAAATCCACCGTCTGGGATTTCAACATGTAACGTTGCAGTCTAGACGGTCGGGAACGGTAAAAACAATGCACAACTAGTCGCATAAGGTCTATAAACACGTGATAAAGACTGATAGCGAAGCAGAAATGGGGGTCAGAGACGCGGTAAGCGCGGAAGGATCGAGGAGATAATATGCTGGTGTCCGCGACCCAAATAAACGCAGCCTTCGATCGATGTTCGTGGTTGGACACGAGGAAGGCCTGAGAAATCGATGATACATTGTCTCGATACTCGCGGAGAAACTCGTTTTCATGGCAACGTTACTCCCAGTATCTCTATCTCGAACCAGAGATGAACGAAATCTTCAAACATAAGTTCCGAGCAGCAAGTAGAATAAATGGGCATATAAATTCATAGTTACTCCAGGTTACAGAGGCTTGAAAGAAAACCTGCGGCGCGTGTGTGTCACAACAATTTGGCAACCGGGGAGCACACTCCGCCTATACGTCTTGCGAAACGTCTCCTTTCAAACATCGTTTTTATCTATAGACGCGTGGCCAAGAACTTTTTTGCACCCCGTTTGCGTAACGAGTCGATCATAATTCGTGGAAACGCGATGTCGCAACGTCCGATGGTGTACCTGAAAATTCAGAGCCGATGGAACCAAAACAAAGAAGGAGCCGAAGCCAGAGGTTGCTCGACTGCTCGTGCGCCGCGTTTAACATTCAAATTCCACGGTGTTACAAAGGAATGTCCGGAGCTGCTGGGTAGGCGAGTTTCCGGAAATTTAGGATGAGCCAAGGTTGACCATAAAACCCGCAAAGATCAGGTAACCCGAGGATCGTTGGCCAGCACGAGCCCTGGCCGTCTCCTTCTTCGATTGTGTTCCCCTCGTTTTCCGTTTCACTCGAATCCTCTGGCGATGCCAGAAGGTAATCAGGAGGAAAAAAGAACCAGGAACGGAATAGCCGGCAGGGCAGGTGTTAGGTGTGCGCGGCGTCGCACCGGTCCAAGAACACAACGTCCATTCTACACGGGTCTCCTCGTAGCAATTTTCTCTTTCTTTGCCGGCGGCAGATGTGGCTGCAGGCCGGTGCAGAAGCACGCCACCATGAGATAACCAGGATTATCCAAGTATACCTAAGCCCAGGCAAGCTGCCAAAGGGTATCGTGTGCCACATTTTTTCTATTCAGGCAGACTGCATCGGCTCGAACTGTCGTAAGCATTTCACGCCAAGCTGAGGATTGAGTTTCAGGGTTCCGGAGCTAATGAATGGCAAAATGCCGCTTTGAAGACGTGGCGTCGGTCACGACGAGGAAAACAAAAAGATTGCTCCACTTTCTCGAAAGAATTGAAATTTTACAGTTGTCAGACTTCCGCGTTGTTTGCTTGTTTTCTCCGTTCAGAGATGAAAACTATAGTATCTCCAACGAATTTTAAAGATTTGCTTCTTACTAGCGACTGTTCCATGGTCGGTAGGATTTGTGGAAGACAGTTTATTGTCAAACAAAGTAAATACGTACACAACGTGTACACAAGAGATCAGACTGATCTCGTAAAAAGGTCGAGATGCTTCCATCGGTTCCTCTTTCGTTTCTTCTCTTAACGTTTCGAAACATCTTATTTTCTCAGCTGAATTTGCGTGCGTAGCGAAAACACATTCTGCGAGATAGGCAAAACCAATATGCAAAGATAACAGGGGCATTCAATAAAAAAGATATCGAAGATAAAGGACTAGCATAAACGAAGTCAAAATGAGAGATGTATTTCACAGTTTGTTGACTTTATCTGAATATTTTTCATTTTGGAGGCATTGATATGTAAATAATACTACGAATAATAATATTCATTCTTGGTTTATATTTGTGACACATGCAGATCCAAGATAACTGGGGTACAGCGACACCTGAGAGGCGGCAAGGTGGTTAGTTCACCGCCTATGGCTTCCCTGTGTGTTATTATTGAGTTGGAAAATTATTTCGTGCACGTGGAATGCACCCTGGCATGCCAAAGTTCTGATATCGTGAAACTTCTGCTCGGCCATTCAACTAATTAGGCTCCGAATTACGCCAATGGCACTTTTAAGGTTTGCGCAAGTCCTCTCGTTGGAAGGCTGCGAAGGTATTAACAGTAGTAAATTGTTTTAAGTATGCGTCCCGAGGTAATTTCGATTATGCGCGTTTAATCCGTAAAAAAGATTATTTTTATTGGTTTCCTCGGTAATCTCATTTCACTGTATGCCGCATTCTCTTGATTTTCTATCAGAATTATTCCATTTTTGAATTAATACGAATTTTGTTGTTCCCGTCACCAAAGTAGAATGAACAGGTGAATCTAACGGAAACAGTTGCGAAAGAAACGATATGGCCAAGTTTGTCTTCAGACTCGACATGCCTGGCGCTTAAACATCCCAGTCGCGATCTTGCTAATTATTATTAGGTAACGCGCGTTAGACTATGTATGCGAAAATAATGAACAGTGCCTACTGTTTCTATTCGTCAGTATAAATTTCTCGCTCGCCTAGTTAGGCGTGTTCCAATTGAATAGGAACACCGTCGAGCATTCTGTTTTTTTTTTGTCTTCGTTGACGTATACTTATCAACGGATCGCACTCGTCGATCTTATATGGAAATAATATCGAGTGTTTCCATCTACAAACCGCAATTATTAAGCCGCTTTGGAGTATAAAGCCTGGTTTCTAGATCAACACAACGGTTCGACGAAGGTCAGGCGACTAATCATGCCGAGGAATGCAATCTGTCCGCGATTCGTCGAGGCCTCCCGTAATTAGACAAACCACTGATGACACTGTGTTCCAATTACGAACAACACATTGAGTTTATTCATAAATCTATATTAACTCTTCGCTAAATTCTCCCAGAGTGTCCGTGGGGGCTGTTATGGGGTTGTACGAACATCCCCATTTGGAATGAAAGGTTCTGTTCTTAAATTTTCTTAAAACATTTTCTTTGTTGACGATATAATTTAGTGATAACTTGAGAGAAGTACGCAAAGATAATTTATCTGCAATCACGTACAATCGAATCACAAATTCGTCGAATTTGAATCACATTGCTGTCGAATTGTTTCGAGATACGTAACTTCCGGTATGTGAACCGAGAATGAATTTTGGGACCGAAGGACAACGAACTCGCACTTCCATTCCGTGATACATAGCTGTTAGTCATCGCTGTATCGTCATCTATGATTCTGAAACGCGTAACGCCCGAAGGCATTCTAATGTGGCAATAGTTATTGGCTTGTGTTCTCTGTAGAATCACGTCATTGCACTCGTATCAGCGACAAAAGTATCGTAAACAAATGTGTCAGCGTGCTACGCTAAGCTTAGGCTTGTCAATAGAACTGTGAGTATAGTGGAAATCATTGTGCGAGACAAGCACGTAGAAAGCTTGAACAGAGGTTTACTAAACAGTACACCTACTACGATTGGTCAAATGACCACTTTCAAACTTTTGTGCACAGTTATTCTGCTAGTTGTAGAAATTAATTCTGTGTCTGTATATTCGATTCCTTATAACTTTAATTTAAACAGATATACCTACTCGTAATGTTGGTAAATAAAAGTACGAACCTTCTATATTCTCATGATCTCATGATTCCTAGAATCTTTATTATCAAGAATCTATACATTATATATATAATTAATTATAACCTAAGTCTACATACAACAAAGTTTAATAGTGTAATAGTGTAGAGCTCTGAACGACACGAAGACAGCTGAGGCCTGGCTCGTTTCTTTCATCCTTTCCCTTTCTCTAAGGCTTGGTAAATCCCGGGAAACTGAGTTCTCGGTCAGGTAAAGTAAAATGCTCCCGGAAGTCGACCGTAAAGCGATCCGGCGAGCATCCGGGCCATTCAACGCGACATAGCACTTTCATCGGCCCGGGAAATCCGCTTTTTCCGGGATTTTCGTATACGACAAAACGACTACGTGTGCTTCTAACGATCGACGACAATCGCAACGACAAAAGAATCGTCTCTGCCTCCTTTCTTAAGCTGAATTTGTACGAGGAGGAAGTGCCCTGGATGCACGGGTACGCTTGTTAGCTTGAATGGCGAACATCGCGAGACTCCTTGTATTTTGCCACGCGCGTGTTCGAACCGATTTTTCGGGGATCGTTTCGCCGAATGGAGTCTCCAAACACGACTTTATCCGCCTTCGAATCTGCTTTAAGGTTTCGCTGTTTTGGGATTTTCGGGATTTACTAGCTTTCGCCCAGCGTCGCCGTGGCGGATGGTCTTTTCGTATCGTACCATTGTAACATTGGATTTGGTTCGCGTCTCTTGTGAATTCTGTTACGAGTATCGTCTTACAAGTCAGTGTTTTTCAAAATTCACCTCCCAAGAGCCACCAGTATTCCACCCATTGGGATGTATCTATACTAATAGTGAATGCTTTGCAATTGAGGGGTGTGCATCGATAAGGAGACAGCTCCATACTTCCTTTTCAGAGTGATGGGGGGGAGGATTAATGTTTGGAACTGCCTTTTTATTGCGCTCCCTTCTAAAAAAAAACACCAATAGAGATCAGGTTGAGTACTTGAAAGTTCGTACTTTAATGTATAAAATTACGAGTTCATATCGAATTGTAGAGTTACAAATTATTGAATATGGAATTCCATATGCAGAGAATTAATTTCTACACTTAATGTTTCGAAGGATGGGGAGCCGAACTTGACATCGCACGAGGTTTCTTCGTCGGTTCTTACTCGATAAATTGCATTCGTGACGTATCCTTGCCGAGATGACCCAGTTACGAGCTCGAACCCCTTGAAATCGTACGTACGAGAATTTATCGAGTGCGACTGAAGGCCGTCGAGAGAATCTTTTCCGACGGCGCGGCGGCGAGTGGATAGGTAGCAGTTGATACCTCGTGTTCGATTGAATCAAATATCCACTCGAGTGAATTTTTTTTTCTCAGGTAATGAGAACATCGAAGATTCGAACGCCCGCCATCGCGTGGATAGATGAAACGTGAATCGTGATCACGACCTGATCTGACAATTGAAATGCAACAAATGTCGCCAGTGAGATTCGCTTGTAAACATTGAATTAAATATGGACTTTTATATTGCCTAAGACACCTAAAAAGTGACATATTTCTCGGTTTCTTTTTATCTTAACGAACCATGCGGATTCATAGAAATAATTCGATGTATAATATAATATTGCTTGTATATAACCTTATAGTATTTTATTTTCATATAAATTCAAATCATTATAATAAATCGTATGGATCCAAGGCCGCGCTATTTGCAAGTATTGTAAAAGGGTTACTTACAATTTTTTTCTCACGTTACACTTGTTCGCATTGCACGAAAACACAGCTTGAAAAACGCTGATTCAACGTATCCTCGTTTCACAAAGAAACGCGCGTACCATTCTGATTCGGTTGGTTAGAACATGTAAGTATTCTTTCCCCTCGTGAAGAACTTAATGTGTCTTCATCCGCGATCCAGTTTTACTCGTTCTTCCTGTGAACCGTGGGACTTTTAACGGCAAATTAGAGACGAACCGGATGCAACGTATGTTTCGCTGGCGCACGTGTATCCGCGGAAATTGCAATTGTGTTCGGAACGCGCGCGAAAGTTCTGCTTCTGACATCACCTTCTACTAGACGTTGAACCATGTTCTACTAATACCGTCAGTTCCGCGTTGTCTAGCATTATTTCTTTTTTCACAAACTTCAAGGGTTTCCTCAATGTTTCTTGAATTATATACATATTGCGAAAGTAATGCAATTTAGGTGCTGTTTTCAAGTTTTTATCGTTAAAGCATAATAGTGTAATTTAGAAACAGTTTAGGCATTTACATTATTAAAGCATAATATTACTATTTATATGCAGTTTACAGATTTATATTATTAAAGCATAATATTATACGACCAGTTTACAAATTTATATTATTAAAGGACATCATTAAAATTTACAAGCTATACGCGTAATTACTACATTGAAAGCAAGAAAACGTTCGTACAACTAAATGCAATGAACTTGGAAGTAAGTCTGGAACTAAGTTCCGTCATAGTTGAATAAATTGAAAAACCAGGAAATACAATTAAATACGCGACGCACGTGTATTGCACGCTTAATAACGATGTCACGATGAATTTAACAATGTTCTTTCAACGAGAAACGCAATCATAATTCATAAGGTTTATTAAAATTGCCAACAAGGAAACGGAAACGTTCTAGAAACCGCGCCGCTAAAATGCATCCTCATTACCGCAATCATACGAAAACAAAACGTGTAATAAATCTTGCAAAACAAGAACACGTGTACAGACTATACACTCCTCGACATATTAAACAAACTATACATTCGAGAAATATGAAATACGATGACTATAGTTTTTTTGGCACATTTTCTTTTCAAGTGTTGTATAACGCATTTAAAAAGAGTTGTATTATTCTTTTAGAAGAACACATACGATGAGCTGGTGTCAATAACAAAATGCCTTAATATCCTTTTTGCTCTAGTTCGAAACTTAATGCCATTGAAAGGCAGTGGGTTCATCGCGTATCGTTGCGCGTGCTCATTGGAACGAAAATCGTTCGTTGAAGACACGGCTCCGTGTGGCGAACAATAAACTCAAAAATTCCAACGTTATCGTTTTCGCGGGAAATTGCGTCAGGTTACAGCGTCACTCGTGTCACGGAAGCGATAAGCGACGTTGGTTGGTACGCGATCATGCGAGAACATTCCCACGTTTCCGATAACCGTTCGTGTTTGACCACAGGTAGGGAGGACACGCGGTTTATACGTCGGATTAGTAGCTAACAATGGGCATAAGGATGGTAGAAGCGGCTGAGCAAACAGATTTCAACGATACCAGGCTCGGTTAAATTAGAATTCTTCGACTCTTATTCCCGGATATGACGGCGTCGCTTACAAGACAAGCTTCCGTAGCGATAAGCCACTCGTTAGTCGTTAAACAGACTGCGGATGTTCGTGCAAAGTCATCCATTTATTTGGATTATACGATATGCAAAATTGTAAATTGTTATATCGTACATTAATAATTCGACAGCGAATGTTTGTGCAAAGTTGTACTTCCTTTTAATTTTTGTATGTGTTCCCCGTACAGCACAAATAAATTATATAACGTATTATATAAATATCGCGGTACATTGGAGTTTACCGTATATATTTAACATTTATAATTAATTCCTAATAGGATTCGTCGCTTATTTGCTAAAAATCGCGAAATATGTATGACAAATGACGCTCGTTAACACGGGACTGGTTTAAGCTCGACCTTTCGAAACAATGAATGATATCATACCTTTTTCTCGTTAGCGAATTAGTAATAAGTTTCGCGAAGGTGAGCGAAAGAGTTTCCCGTCATGTATGACTACCAACAATACCGCGGTCGACAAAATAGTCAATATTCCACACGGTTTTAAATGCGAATATGTAAGCGACGGCTTTTCATACTGGTCATTTGTGACGTTTACATCGCTTGAACTCTCAAATCTTCTCTACGACATTGGATGTCATCGAATCATTTAAAATTAATTAAATTAATTTTAGATGTCAAGTCATTCAAAATTAATTTAATTAATTCTCATTGATTCTTAAATGTCATCATCTTATATACCAATATGTTCTATCTTGGTTTAAATGGATATAATTATGGTCACGCATGTAGGCGACGAAAGTGCATTAGCGAATCAAAGTAGAGAATGATCGTCCCGTTGATTCCACTTTGACGCCCTCTGGGAGTAACGTCGTGCCGGAGACTCTCGTATTCGCTACTAGAGGGCTATCGAGGTAACTTGTTTCTCACAAGTTATCGATCAACCTTTGATATTGTATATAAGCGTTCCATGAACGATCTTCCATTGGAGATTAAGAGACGGGGTGGTTCCCAGTGTGCGTTTCTCCCGCAGTTCTGGTTGAACTGCGTTACCAAAAATTTATTATACATATGTCGTCGCGTCTAACTTATGAGAGGAGGGGGTAGGTGTGTTCAGTCCCACGGTTATTTTCCGCACAAGATGGATGTGAAATTCCCATCGAGGAAAAAAAACTCCTCCGACGCTTGATGACGATGGGTCGCACACGGTAATAGTCTCTTAACCCTTTTACGCTCTTTTGTAACGACTAATATTTTTCTTCACCTGTTTAAATGGCCTACTACCGATAAAAGGTTTGGCGTATTCTTAACAATAATAATATTCTTAACGATAACAATAAGAAGGGGGAGGGAAAGTCCGAGAAATCTTACGTGTTCTTAGATAAGGGTGAGGGAGTTAAAATGTCCAAAATCGTTCTTACGTAATTAATGAACGGTACCTAAGAACTCTGGTTAATGCAGATTAGAAACGTAAGATTGGCCCGACCTCGAAATCGATACTGCAACGAGCTTCTGAGGCGGTCCTGGCTGACTGAATCCGACGTGTCTGGGGGACTCGAGACGAAGGTCGGTGCCGTGGACAGAAAAAAAGGTGGGATGATGGTTTATCGTACGGAATTGAGTGCCGATCCGTGGCAGAAGTTGCGAAATCAACGTTGCTTCGTTCACGGCGACGAGGGGATTGGCTCGATTCGCTCACGTGCCACCGTGGCGACCGATTGAGAAACGGCCGTGATAACGAGATCCATAAAATCCACCGGCTCTCTCGACTCCGACGGAGCCTGTTCGTTCCCCTTTGTATTCGCAAACTGAACTCTTAGGGCTACTCGATTTATTGGGTTCCACTGTCGTTATTTACCGTTTTTCTTTTTCTTCTCTTTCATATCGATAAAGGGAGACTTTTATAATATAGTTTGAATGCTTGTATGTTGTCACGTGTATATATTATTGGAAATAGTTAAATAGTTTTTGAGATATCGTGTACATCGAAAAAAGAGACGATCCCGAAAATGTTCTATATGTTGATCGTTTTTAAATATATCTTAACAAAAAAAAAAAACCCACACGGTCATGTAAACGACAGTTCGCATTCTTAGACACACACGTGCTCGATGGGAACACGAGTGTTCAATGGCACACGTTGTCGGCAGGGTAGAATCGACCAATGACACGTCTCAAAGGCAGCACACCGATAGCTCCCGGTGTCGTCTGGCTGGCAGTATGTACTGACAATGAATGCTCGAATCGTTGATTTTCGAGGACACCGCTCGACCGAACGAGCGAAATGACAGTCATGAGAGAATGCTGACCTCGGATCGAGGTTCGCGTTGCTTGTCGTGTTTCGCAGTCCCCACCCAGACGGGTGTTCGTGCTCGCTTCAGGAACACCTTGGTCGATGCAACGTTTAAATATACATCAAACGAACAACACTTTTCACACCTACGCCCGTGTAGGTGCACGTGTGACGCAACAACAGGGGTGCAAAATCTGTTCACCTACGTGGCACGCTTTTGCGCAACGTCCTGTCAAATCCAGTGGTGAGTTGGGGGGGGGGGGGGATGGAGTGTTATCGTGATTTTGCGTGATCTTCCGTGTTTGGGACGAAAGCAATGACGGAGCAATGAAATCTCAAACACGATCACACGATAAGCTGTTTACAACCAGCATCTTCTAAACATAGTACAATAGCCCATCCGAAAAACTCCATCTTGGGTGTTTACTTCGTCGCGCGTGCAGCAGGGGCTAAATACCTTGGTCGGTTGGCCGTGTTTCCTTTACGCACCGATCGTAATTGGTGCCGCGAGGAGACGCTTTTCCGTACACGTGCACACGCTTGTTGAAAGGTGTTACGAAGCTGATACCGGTGCAAATTACGCGCGTGTCCGCTCGCTCGTGTGCGGTTGCGTTACCGAGGGCCTCGCTGCTTTGTGTTGCGGCCACGCAGGAAGGTGCCGCAAACTTAAACATGTGCTTTACGTTGGAGGGGACAAGTTGGGAGAAGGGGACGGGAGGACGCGTAGCACTATAATAGACATTTCGGGAGCTCGACTTATTGTTAGTGTGTTTTATCGGAGATTAGGACCGGGGTATTTTTGGACTACGCAGTCGCGATCTTTCCACGGACCTGACAATGATGGGCAAAATGTAATTCATGATCCACGGTCATGATTGCTAAGATTCCCTTATCTGGCCCACTCTGCGCTTTATTTTACTTCGTTCAATTTTGTATTTTATTACAACCACGATCCATAGTACCGAGTATTATCATTGTTAAACTTTCCACCGTAACGGAGCTGTATGACTTCACGTTGAAACATTCTTACGTAAATTCCGATTGTTCCAGTGACAGCGTAATGATTGGCACGCAATGCCTGTAACGTTCCCTCTCAGACATGGAGCGTTGCACCCCGACACGTGTAAATATTGCATAGGTGCGCGTGCATGCACCTACCGATTCATCGGTAACAGTAAACACCATTTCATCGAGCACGAGAGCATACATACCTCCGGTTTTATTGATAACGATCGTCGCGATTGCGTCAGGTTGTCGTATGTGAAAAAAAGCAACGAGAAAAATGGAAAACAGAAAAAGAAGTTAAACGATAACGATCACGTGGTTGCGCGGAGAAGAATGACTCTGTTCCGATTGCTATTACCTTGTGTTAGGTACATATATCGATTACGTATCCGGATACACGCTGTGAATACCAGCGACTCGTACGCTATACAAAACTATACAAAACTGCATAAATTTTCTCCTACAAAACTGCATAATAGTTTCCAAGGCACATCAAAGACGCAAAATGTTATTCAAAGATCTAGCAAAGTATTCTAATAAAGGCTTGTCGCGTACCTGGGATGAATAGTGTCAGGGATCACCGTATACCGTATGCATGCGGAAAGGATTTACGGAAAACGGATTTTCCAAAGGATACGCGCATCCTGCCCGATTGCAGTCCTCGTTTTCCGTGTGTAGGTGTGGTCGAGCAGCTGCCACGAGGAAACAGGACGAGAAAGAAGATGCTGTGCGTACGCGAAAGGCGAACAAGGGATCCGACTCGTTTCGCTGTAATTTAACCGCAACCCTATGGAAACGTATGCCAGCGGTGTGCCACGAGGCCTACGGGGAAAAATGTACCGGTGCACGTGGCACATTATTTTCGGCCTCGAACGAAATTGGGGGAACCCATCTGTCTGGAGCTGTGTGAAGTATCCGGGTGAAGCTGTTTGTATCATTTTTCCAGTCCGAAACAAGTTCGACCGATCCGATTGGCAAAGATGAAGATATCTAAATAAATGCAAAGTCATTTCACATGCATTCACACATTATCACGCATTAGAGTAGTCTAAAATTTCGATTTTTAGCACAAATATGTTCCTCGATGTGTAAATATTCATACAAGCTCGAGTACCACTGCAATAAATTACATGCTTTACAAATTATATTATTTAATACGACGTGGTCCCTGTTTGCCCATTCTGTAACGAAATGGCTCCGAGTGCAAAGGGTTTAAACTAATGCCGGGATCAGCTCCAAGCGTCTATCGCGAGCAGGAGCCAAGATAGACAACACGCCGCAAGAAGATCCAGCAATGTACCAGATGGGAAGGTTTCGCAATATTCCCTGAAATATCGAGATGATCATCGCGCAGCCAGGCAGCAAAATTACAGAAAAAGGATCGTCGAAGGTTCCGCGGGCATAATCGTGGTAGAAAGCAGATCCCGGGCGCGAAAAGGTCATAGATCTCATTGGAAGTCAAGCTACCAGTGGCTAGCGGCTTTTCCCGAAAGTCCACGGAGAAAGCGAGAGCCACGGTTCCGGGATCGATAAATGGAATGGCGCATCCATTGCGAGACGATCAACTGATATCTCGCGGTGTTATCTCGAATTTCTTATCTCGACACCGCCCTCTCGATGTTCTTGAGCATCGCTTATGCGTGGGAGGATACGAATATCCTTCCCAGAGTTCCTTCGTCTCTAGCCTCCCTGGTCGAGGCTCTTGTTCGAGGTTAGCTTCCTTCTTCGAACGGAGGCTGCTCGGGTTGATGGACTCTCGGGTAATTTGTTCGATGGTTTAACTTGTGGCGCAATAAAATTTAATAATAATATTGAAGGACTCTTCAGACGTTCGTTTAACATTTGAAATTTTGCCGCAGTAGAATTAAATAATAACGTTGATGGACTCTCCAGCCACTTGTATGACATTC